TAAGATACTGGTAAATTTCCTGTATATCAAATCCTTCACACATAATGGAAGTTACGTGGTAACTTTGATTTCTATTAATCTTTCTCAGTTGAACACATCTAAAGCGTTATTATTGCTTGCTGCCTAGGAAAGGACAAACCAAAAAGGCCCAGATAATACTATTTAAGGTTGACCAAAAATAAAGTTTCTACCACTTTGAATGACTAACAATTTTATGGCAATAACACCACTTGAGAATGACTTAAACACGAATCCTGTGACAGATGCTTCTTATGTTATTTGAAATAATTCTTCCAAGTAAAAACACATTTTTGTTTGCTTATTTAAAATATGATAGTAATTTAAATTATTAAAATATATCATAGAACTAGAAAAACAGTAACATGTGCACATGAAAAATATTTAGAAGTGAACAGCTAGTGTGAGGATGCTGCTCTCTTTCAAGTAGTACTTTAAGCATAAGCCAACTTCCCTCCCAAGAGTCTGTACAAGAGCAAGGTAAACTACTCAATTAATGAAGTTGTTTCAGAGAGACATTGAAAATATGTCCATGAAAAAGAGAGAAGAGAGGAGATGTAAGGCATAGACCAGGACATGAATGAAATGGATCATGATCATGTGGTATTGTTGAAGCTATATCAGAACAATTCAGTGGCTATTTGATTTTGTTATTTTATGCTTAATACATCTGGAATCCTACCTTTCCCCCTGCCCCTCTTCTTAAAAATGAAGGAGAACAAGCTCTCTGTTATCACACAAGTTCATTCTACTTAACAAAAATCCTTCAAACTTTTCACCTACATGTCTAATAATATACATAGAGGAAAAAAGTCAAGCAAATTTAATGTAAGTTAGCATTTTAGAGGGAAGAACTGAAAAGAAAGTTTGTGACCAAGCAATTTATATATATACCATTCTGAACCAAAAGTGCTTAGTCTGTTCCAACAAAGCAAGAAAAATAACAAGAAAACAATTTGTCTTAACCAAATATGTGCACCTAACTCTCAGACGCAATGCCCACATGAACCAGAAAAAGATTTCCTAATCTGGAATCTATCTCATGTTATTATGGTCTGCTAGTCTGAAACAGAAGTTTTTCTTCTGTAAGTCTAGGTTCCCTAACTTTCATAAAGTTGTATGCATTTGATCTTTCCTTTTGTCTTACTATTTTCCACTTTCTACAACCTAAACTTCCTCTAAGGAAGAATTTTTCAACCACAACAATACTGGCATTTTGGATTCAATATTGCTTTACTGTAAGAAGCTCTCCTGTGCATTGTAGGATCCTTAGCAGCAAACTTGCCCTCTATAGCCAAACGCTAGTAACAGCGCTGATCTCTACTTGTGACAACCAAAAATGTCTCTAGACATTGCCACATATTACCTAGAGGGCAAAAATCACACTTGATTCCTCCAGGGATCTTCCTGGTTTTGACTCTAACTATTTCTTTTCAAAGATGTCTGTGACTCTCGGCACATATTACGGCACTGACAACCCAGTCCCTAAGCCTGAATAAACTGTCTCTGAAGACTGATAAATAATGAATATATTAGTGTGTTTATTTGGTTTGGGGTGTAATCAGAAGCTATCTTTGGCAGATTAAAATGTAATTGGTGAGGTGATGGTCTCAGTATTTCTGTTTAATTCAGGCTTTAGTAGATCAGCATAGCATGAATTTCAGATTTTGCAATTTTGTGTACCTTTGTATACTAATATTTCGAGTGTCATAACATACTTAGCTTACCCAATGCTGCTTCTTTCTTTTCTTTCCTTCTTCCTTCCTCCCTCCCTCCCTCCCTCCCTCCCTCCCTCCCTTCCTTCCTTCCTTCCTTCCTTCCTTCCTTCCTTCCTTCCTTCCTTCCTTCCTTCCTTCCATCTTTCCTTCCTTTCTCTCTCTCTCTGTTTCTTTCTTTCTTTCTTTCTTTCTTTCTTTCTTTCTTTCTTTCTTTCTTTCTTTCTTTCTTTCTTTCTTTCTTTCTTTCTTTCTTTCTTTCTTTTTCTTTCTTTCTTTCTTTCTTTCTTTCTTTCTTTCTTTCTTTCTTTCTTTCTTTCTTTTTTCTCCCTCTGTTTCTCTTTTCCTTGTTTTCCTTTCTTTTTTTTTTTTTTTTGAGACAGGATCTCACTCTGTTACCCCAGGATGAAGTGTAGTGGCACAACCATAGCTCACTGCAGCCTTAACTCCTGGGCTCAAAGTGATTATCACACTCCAGCTTCCCAAGTAGCTGGGACTATGGATATGTGCCACCAGACCACACAGATTGGAAAAAAAAAAAAAAAATAGAAATTGCAGCTCACTATCTATTCCAGGCCAGTCTCGAACTCCTGACCTCAAGCCATCCTTCCATTTCAGCCTCCTTGGTAGTTTGCATTACAGGCCTGGCTGTAATGCTTCTTTCTTTGATTGACTTTTATATATATATTTTTTTTACATAAAACCATAATGCAATTTTTTTATGCATCACTTAATTGTTCACACCTTTCAACACATGCATCTTTTCCCATATTCTATGTATTGCTATAAAATGGAATCTGGCTTTCCAGTCTTGGTCAAATTAGCTCTGACTATCTCCTTACTAAGAAAGAGTTCTCCTGGTCTGTTTATGTAGTCTGTGCACTTTCTATAAGGGAGTCCCTACAAATAGGGTTCCACCAACTACATTTGGCATAATTTGCCTTTAGGGCAATATTTCTTCCTTCCCTAGAAGACAGTTAGTATCATACAAAGAAACAAATATATCTTTCTTCGTAGAGATTACATTTCAGCCTAATCTAGTCAATAAAAAGAATGTATGAAGAACTATGTTGTAAACTGGGAAGCCAGATGGCAATTAGTTGTTAAGAAAAAAAAAAAAAAAAAAAGAAAGAGGAGATGGTGCCTATCGGCTGGATGAGAGTATGGGAGTGTGGTTAGCCCTCCGTCTCCATGAGTTCTGCATCCATGGATTCAACCAACTGTGGCTGAAAATATTTTTTAAGACAATTGATGGTGGCCTCTGTATGAAACACATATAGACTCCTTTTTCTTGTCATTATTCCTTTAAAAATAGAGTATAACAACATAGCATTTACTTTGTGTTAGGTATTACAAGTAATCTATAGATAATGTAAAGTATATGGGAGGATGTAGACAGGTTATATGCAAACACTGTATCCTTTTATATAAGAGACTGGAGCATCCATGAAGTTTCCAAGTAGGTGGGGGTCCCTAGTACCAACACTCCACGGATACCTAGGGAGGACTGTATTTAACATTTTAGATTGGGTTTCTACAGAAGGACAAACTGAGAATGTAACATTTGAGAAAATACCTATGCAGAATGAAGAAACTGATGAATAATTAATGTGGGTGAAAATTTGGGTATAAATGCTTACAACAAAGGCCTCAAGCAGGAATATGTCTGAGTTCTTATGGGAACTTCCAGGATGATATCGTTGTTATTGTAGAGCAAACAAGGAGAAGTATGATAATATTGAGCCTCTGGTTAAAAGCTTACCTGGTTTCCTCTCTGCAAAGTTTAATTATGTGAGCCTTCAAATTCCTCTCTCTCTCTCTCTTTCTCTCCCTCTGTGTGTGTGTGTGTGTGTGTGTGTGTGTGTGTGTAATGGGGGAAGGGAGGCAAGGAGAGAGGGACAGACATAATGAGAGAGTGAGAGAGAGAGAGAGAGAGAGAGAGATTTTCTTTAGATTTTTCAATTGTTGCAACTGAAATTTAAAACTTTTAATCCTACCCAAATGCAAATTGTACTCATATGGAATTCTAATTCGAGCTTTACTTCTTTCAGCGTGAGTTTACATAAGTCACTCTTGTTGAAGATAATTGTAAAAAAAAAAAAAAAAAAAAAAAAGATTTAACTGGTGGATAGAAATAGAACACAGAAATAAAGCAGATGGTGAAGTTAAAGTAGATTAGTTTTAAATTTTATGTTTTTTGTCGGTTCTCTAATGAAGCCTTATAAGAGATTTAAGAAAACAAGATAAAACATAAACTGAATCCTTATATATGCACTCCTGAGCCAATTGCAAAAGAAGAGAACCAAAAGAGCTTTGTATAAAGCTCCAGTGCTATTTTCTTTGATGGTATAACAAAAAACAATCAATAATTTAAAGTCATAACATTAGGAAGCTATACAATATTTGAATAGACACAAACCAGAAATTGCATTTCTAACTATATGTATTATCTATCAAAATGAAAATAAATGTGTCAGTAAATTACTGAAATTATAAGGAAAAGAATGTCTGAATCATTGCTGTAAGGCATAATAAATAATATTTAATTGCATAGTACCTGTATTTTACAATTACAATGCACATAATATCAAACATTTTTAAATGTATTGGATGTCATCTATTTATATAAACATGAAAATAACTACACTTTTTTGTTTTCTTTTTCTTCCACGAGCTCTTAATCTGTTCAATAGTTCATACTTATGTGATGGTGATTAGAAACCTAACACTCTCAATTGTAAAGCAACAATTGTTTTATCACTGAGGCCATTTATATTTTTAATATTGAGAATGCAATTGACATTGTGAATGTGCTTAATTAGATATTCCTCATCACAGTTTCAATGAGAAAGTTTGCCATCCTTATGCCACTTCAATTATAAAGAAAATGAATTGAAAATAGAGAAATTTAACTCATAATGAAGAGCATGGCTTAGAATTAATAAGGTTCTGACCTACAGGGTTTTTTCCTCTCCTCATATTTTCCAGCCTATTTTATTAATATCAATTTCCTAATCTTAATGTTACTATGAGGAATGCTTTATTCTTCATAGAACTTTCATTAAATGCATACTAAAAAAGAAACATATTTTTGTTCTCATTTTAATTTTAGTCTAATCCCATTAACCAGAGTAAACCACCGTCAAATTTGTTGGTTTATTTTCTTCTAGCTTATTTAATACACATCTGAATAAATACAAATTTCATCCTGGCCCCACTGGCCATCAAAACTCTGATTAAACTTGGTCTTATGTTAAATCCTCATACTAACGGAACCACTCTGTGAATTCCAAATCCATTTTCCTCCATGTTTCTCTTTGGATCCTTGCTTCGGTGTCCTTGTCTGTTTCAATTTGTCCCTGGGCCAGGCAGGTCACAGGCTTTGGATATTTTAATGTTTCCATCAAACCAAATCAAATATGCTAAGAAATTTTCATGTTAAATGCTAAATGAGAATGGGGATGGATGACATCAAATCCCACATCACCTTTTGCCATCTAAATGGCTCCCTTCCCTTATGCTTTCTGCTACTTGGGAAAGTCTCCACTACTGATATGTATTTTCTAGTGTCTGTACCACTCTAGAAGGTAAAATCAATTTCTGAGGGAGCAGTCCTGGAATGACTTTTACCCTTTTCAGCACCTCAGAAAACACATAAAAATTATTTTTTTTTTTACAAGCAGATAAATACATACAAATATCTAAAACAAAATAATAGAATGATACAACGGCTTTTCACAAAATATTTTAACTTGAGCACTTTCTTTTTTTTTTTTTTTTTTTGAGACGGAGTCTCGCTCTGTCACCCAGGCTGGAGTGCAGTGGCCGGATCTCAGCTCACTGCAAGCTCCGCCTCCCGGGTTTACGCCATTCTCCTGCCTCAGCCTCCCAAGTAGCTGGGAGTACAGGCGCCCGCCACCTCGCCCGGCTAAGTTTTTGTATTTTTAGTAGAGACGGGGTTTCACTGTGTTAGCCAGGATGGTCTCGATCTCCTGACCTCGTGATCCGCCCGTCTCGGCCTCCCAAAGTGCTGGGATTACAGGCTTGAGCCACCGCGCCCGGCCAACTTGAGCATTTTCAATGTGATTAACAAGCTTGAAAAACAAGGCCACACAGATTCATCTTCTATTATATGGATACACTATAATTTTTACTATTTTTGTTGTTTAATTTGATTTTCCTTTACAATAAATATTATAATGAATATTTTGTATGCATGTTTTATATAATCTTTTAAATTTACTTTGGATATTTCTGAATTATTACAGGTTGAAAAATTTCCGGCACATACTGCTCTACCGCCATTCAGTGAGCTTATTACAAGTCATATTTTTCCTGGATACGTGTGAACATGCTGTCTCAATTTTCCTTTGTGATACAGAAATATAAACTGTGTATACTTTAATGTTCTGTGATATGAATATATAAAATGATAGCTTCATATTGCCTTAAACAATATTTCATTAACTTTTTGACAGTTTGGATTACCAGATGTGGTAAGATGGCTGAATAGGAAAAGCTCCAGTCTGCAGCTCCCAGCAAAACTAATGCAGAAGGTGAGTGATTTCTGATTTCTGCATTTCCAACTGAGGTACCCTGTTCATCTCATTGGGACTGGTTAGGCAGTGGGTGCAGCCCATGGAAGGTGAGCAGAAGCAGGGTAGGGCATTCCTTGCATCGGAAGTGCAAGGGGTCAGGGACATCCCTACGCTAGCCAAGGGAAGCCATGACGGACTGTGCCATTGTGTCTGGAATTGGTGGGTTCTTGGTCTCACTGACTTCAAGAACGAAGCTGCGGACCCTCGCGGTGAGTGTTACAGTTCTTAACGATGGTGTGTCTGGAGTTTGTTCCTTCTGATGTTCAGATGTGTCTGGAGTTTCTTCCTTCCGGTGGATTCGTGGTCTTGCCGGATTCAGGAGGAAAGCTGCAGACCTTTGTGGTGAGTGTTACAGCTCATAAAGGTGGTGGGGATCCAAACAGTGAGCAGCAGCAAGATTTATTGGAAACAGCGACAGAATGAAGATTTCACAGTGTGGAAGGGAACCTGGAGTGGGTTGCAACTGCTGGCTTGGGCAGCCTGCTTTTATTCCCTTATCTGACCCCATCCCCATCCTGCTGATTGGTCCATTTTTCAGAGAACTGCTTGGTCCGTTTTGACAGTGTGCTCATTGGTGCATTTACAATCCTTTAGCTAGACACAGAGTGCCAGACAGAAAAGTTCTCCAAGTCCCCACTTGATTAGTTAGACACAGAATGCTGATTGATGCCACAAGGAAGGGGAGGAAATAAGTAAGATCAGAGCAGAATTTAAGGAGACAGAGACACGAAAAACCCTTCAAAAAATCGTCGAATCAAAGAACTGTTCTTTTGAAAAGATTAACAAAATAAATAGACCACTAGCCAGATTAAATAAGGAGAAAAGTGAGAAATCTAGCCATCTGACAAAAGGCTAATATCCAGAATCTACAAGGAAGTTAAACAAATTTACAAGAAAAAAACAACCTCATAAAAAAATGGGCAAAGTTTATCAACAGACACCCGTCAAAAGAAGTCATTTATGCAGCCAACAAACATATGAAAAAAAGCTCGTCATCACTGGTCGTTAGAGAAATGCAAATCAAAACCACAATGAGATACCATCTCACACCAATTAGAATGATGATCATTAAAACGTGGAAATAATAGATGCTGGCGATGATATGGAGAAATAGGAACACTTTTACACTGTTGATGGGAGTGTAAATTAGTTCAACCATTGTGGAAGATAGTGTGGTGATTCTTCAAGGATCTAGAATTAGAAATACCATTTGACCCAGCAATTCTATTACTGAGTATATACCCAAAGGATTATAAATCATTCTACTATTAAGACACATGCATACGTATGTTTATTACAGCACTATTTACAATAGCAAAGACTTGGAACCAACCCAAATGCCCATCAATGATAGACTGGATAAAGAAAATGTGGCACATATACACCATGGAATACTATGCAGTCATAACAAAAGAATGAGTTCATGTATTTTGCAGAGACGTGGATGAAGCTGGAAACCATCATCCTTAGCAAAGCAACATAGGAACAGAAAAGCAAACATTCATAAGTGGGAGTTGAACAATGGGAACAAATGGAGACAGGGAGGGAAACATTACACACTGAGGCACATCAGGTGGCGTGGCGCGAAGGGGAGGGAGTGTATTAGGACAAATACCTAATGCATGTGGGGCTTAAAACCTAGATGAGGAGTTGATAGGTGCAACAAACCACCATAGTACATGTATACCTATGTAACAAACTTTTACATTCAGCACATGTATCCCAGAACTTAAAGTAAAATAAAATAAAATAAAATTTAAAAATTTGAGACAGTTTGAACACTTAAAATGTGTATTTACCTTTTATTTTCATTGATATCTAAAGATTGTCTATACAATATATATTTTCTAATTTTATTTCTTTCCCTTTAAAAATGGACAATATAACTCAGATATAGTTTTGCACGAAGAAACAAATACACCCCACCATGAAAGAGAATTTATTAATTTATTAATTTTAAGAATTTTAAAAATCAGAATTTTACAATTTCTGATTTTTAAGTTTTAAAGTCTATTTTACATAAAAGTAAGGTAGGCATCAACCAGTTTTTGATTAGTACTTCTCTCGATTTTTTCCATCATTTTGTTTCAATAAAGACATCATTTTGTTTCAATAAAGACATTTTATTTCATATTATCTCATGTGAACAACACATACCTCTATTATGATTACGTTTACTTCCAATGTAAATTTAGATGGGTAATCCCTGGTTATTATCTTTGTAAAAATTATTTTGATGCACAGAAGTTTTTAAACTTAATTAAGTTCAATAAACCATTTAATTTTGTGCCCTATCTAACAAAGTTTAGTCTAATGCATGGTCATAAAGAACATCATCCTTTTTTTTTTTTTTTTTTTTTTTGCTCCATTTTATTCTCTAGAAGTTTTATAAATTTCTCTTTTACTCTCAGGTTTATGCTTCATGTAAAATTAATTATTGTGTGGTTTGAGGTAGGGGGTATGGAGTCACTTTTTTTCCAAGTGTGTTTTAATAAGAAGATGTTCCTTTGTTCATTAAATTATCTTGGTGTTTTTGAGATAGAAAGAAATTTCCCTGTGGATCTATCTTTGAACTCGCCTTTCGTGTGCGTGTGTGTGTGTGTGTGTGTGTGTGTGTGTGTGTGTGTGACATCTTCTAGTTCATCCTTATGCTATGTATTATTCAGGGTTCCCTAGAGGGACAGAACTAAGAAGATAGATTTATATCAAAGGGGAGTTTATTAAGGAGTATTAACTCACATGATCACGGGGTCCCACAACAGGTTGTCAGCAAGCTGAGGAGCAAGTAAGCCAGTCTGAGTCCCAAAGCTGAAGAACTTGGAATCCAATGTTCGACAGCAGGAAGCATCCAGCACAGAAGAAAGATGTAGGCTGGGAGGCTAAGCCAGTCTAACCTATTTATGTTTTTCTGCCTGCTTTATATTTTGGTCATGCTGGCAGATGATTAGATGGTGCCCACCGAGATTGAGGGTGGGTCTACCTTCCCCAGCCCACAGACTCAAATGTCAATCTCCTTTGCCGACATCCTCACAGACACACCCAGGGTCAATACTTGGCATCCTTGAATCCAATCAAGTTGACACTCAGTATTAAGCATCACATGCCAGTACCACACTGCCTTGATACTCTAGCTTGAAAATAACTCTTGAAATCATGTTCGTAAAATCCTTCAAATTTGCTGTTATTTTTGATTACTTAGCTATTTGAGGTCCTTTGATGTTTCATATCAGTTTTATAATCAGCTTGCCCATTTCTACAAAACACTTGTTAATATCAGTAAGAAGAGAGGATATCATAAAATATTAATTTTTCTAATTCATAAATATATTATAACTTTATTTATAGGGCATATTTAATTTCCCTCTGTTATCTTTTTTTTTAGTTTTTAACATAGAGGTCTTGGCCACATTTTGTTAAACATTTTCTGAAGTGCTTTGATACACTTATAATCATACTTTTTTCACTTTTATAGTATTAATTTTTAGTTTCATGTCTTAATTCATTGTTGTTATATTACAAAAGCACTACTGGTTTCTAAAAAAATATATTGAATCCTGGAATTTTGCCATATTTAACTTGTTAGTTCTACTTTTTAATTTTTATAGCTTTCTAATGAATAGTAATGAGGTATGCTTATCACTACCGTACTACTTTTATTTATTCTATCTTCACGTTGTAGTTATTTTTCTTGCCGTATTTCTCAAAAAAAAG